CAGAATACAACGCGCTCACGCGCAAGAGAGGAACATGGTATCGAAGACATCTTGTATTTATCTCTCCCAATGCCAATTCTTTAATTGACCGGTGTGTCTCGCAGTAATCGGATTCCAAAAAAAGTAGCTTTCGAAATCACGCACGACTCCCCGGTTGATCGGGCCTTCCGCGAATATCATTTTCTTGACTTCATCAAAACTTTTTCGCTCAGCTAGCCATTTCTTGAACTGTACACCTCGCAAATTACTTATCAATCTCTTGTAAACTGCGTTGCTCTCTGCCGATCTGAGCATTCGAGCCGTATCAGTAGCGCCCTACTGTTTTTCTCCACGTAAAGTTATAGGGTCCGAAATTTTATCTGTAACTGCTGTTCATTCATATTCTCACAATATAATCCCAGTGTTCCATGTCCGCGCTTTCTCAGAAATTCTTCCATATTCTTTTTCGGATTAGTAGCTGAAAACATCGTCTACGCGTTTTTGTTGTTGTTGTTAAAGGCAAATGCCGAAGTGAGTAGATTAAAGTCAATTAAATCTGTCCTCTAAACTTCAGTGCTCCTGGCCATCCACCAGATTAACCGGTTTGGGACCGGTCCAGTTTGGAACGTCACGCCGGTTAGCCGAACCGTGCAGAGTCGGTGCATATCAACACTCCCACTCACCGCTACTGCACGTCGTTCCTCTTCTTGATTCCACTTGCTTCGCGAAGGAACGCTAGCGACTTCGTTCCCAGTGCTTTCGTAAGCATGTCAGCTAACTGCTGCTTCGTGTCGATGTAGGCCACCTTGATTGTGGAACGTTCCACATTCTCTCGAATAAAGTGGTGACGGATATCCACGTGCTTGGTCCTCGCGTGATATCCAGCGTTGCTTGCAAGTGCAATAGCACCTTGATTGTCTTCCCAGACCTGCGTCGCTCCCACTTGCTCGTGACCCATGTCCTTCAGCATGGCACGTGTCCATAGTACCGGTTGTGATGTACATGAGGCACCCGATTAAGGAACGATACGGTCGTGACCGCATTTCGGCACGTTCCTTTTCCGTAGTCAGCGACATCATCTTGGGTAACTTCAGGTTTGCTGCACAAGGGTTCTCCACCATCTTGGCGTTCCGTTGATTGAATCGTTCCACAATGTCGTCAATGTACCGAGTTTGCTTGATCATCAACGTTCCACATTCTCTATCGTGGTCAATCTCCATTCCCAAAATGAATTTGGCCTCGCCAAGCTCCTTCATCTTGAATGCGCTCTTCAGGGCGTTTTTGCCCTCCCGAATTTCGTCGCGCGTCTTGGCCGCAATAATCATGTCGTCCACATATAGACATACGTACACGAATGCGTTTTTGGAACGCTTGACGTAGACCCACTGGTCGGCTCCGCAACATTTGAAACCATTCTGCAGGAACACGCGATGAATAGTCTTGTTCCATGCACTTGCAGCTTGCTTCAAGCCGTAGATGG